CTTGCTTTCTTTTGGCAGTCTTTGCCATATGGATGAGCAGGACATTGTCTGAAGAGCTTTCTTCTGCAGTGGCACTAGTACCAGCTCTGTTTTCCCCTTTTGAAGACAGATAGTATAACCAGTATCTTTCTCCATACTTCTTTCCTTTAGAAGCAATACCCATAGACTCCAAAATATGTCCAAGGTATAGTCCTTGACAGAGATATTTCTGGTTGGGCTTTCCCAAATGCTTTGAGATGGAATTGAAAAAGTGTGCAGCCCAGTTTACCTTAGTTTTGGTAATGAGAGCGTTGATTATGAAGGCTCTCTCCTGGGTGATTTCATCGGCATGACCTCCACTTCCACACTCGAGGCAGGCGATGACCAGTTCCAAAATCAGCTTTTAATCATTGTTGAGATCTGCTTTCTTTGCTGGGCCAGAAGGAATTTGCCCAGAGATTCCAATGATGTTCCAGTCCATATTTTTTACTGGAAATTTCCCAACTTCAACTCCAGAATTGGGAAGGCGAAGCTTTTCTCCCAATTTCTTCTGCGAAAGCTTCACCTTTGTACCCCCTACAGTGGACTTGATAACTGGAAACGTCCTCTGTGGGTCCTTCTTTAAATGAGCAGTCTTGACTTCTCCATTCCTGTAGAATTCAAGAACTTCTTCCTCGAATTTAAGGCGAATCTCCATTTGAATAAATTCGGAGAGTTCTTGAGCGCCTATCATCTCCATATAGCTTTGAAAGAATGTCGATGAAGAGCACTTGGCCTCTAACTTCTGGAAATGAACATTTGCTCCGACAACCTTCATTTTCTCAGAAATTTGGGTGAAAATTTGAGAGAGAAAGAGACCTAGGGTTCTTACGAGTTCTTGAGAATTTTTCGCGAAGAAGACGATGAAAAATTTTGAGTGGGCGGTTGAGATCTGAATAGTGGCGATTGGGTTTTAATTTGAGCGACTTTTGCGGCTAGTGGCGATTGGGTTTTTGACTATTCCCAAGGCCACGTGCCTACCCAATATTTTGACAGACGTGGAAAGTGAACTACCCAATATTTAGTCCGCCACGTGTACCGCACTCATTCTAATTGAATTAGACCAATTTTGTGAAGCAAATCGGAAAACTTGGCTTCACTTAGTGGTTTTGTGAAGATATCCGCCAGTTGTTCTTCAGTTGAGATATACTCAATTTTGATATCTTTCTTTTCCACATGATCTCTGATGAAGTGATGCTTGACATCAATGTGCTTAGTGCGAGAATGATGCACTGGGTTTTGAGAGA